TTGCTCTGTCATCTGTTCCTGCCCGAAGTACGATTATTCTCCAAAATGACACCATACATCCCACCACGGCAGCATTTTTTTATAATGGGTATCGCTGCGCTAGGTTCTCCTATCAAAGGTATTAGTCATGTACTCTCTATTGTACATATACATACATTTGTACCTATATACAATATCTATATGTACAACCGAGCAAGCAGAAACCTACTGTTGCATCCTATGTTAGTCCTCTTGCACCCTGCTCATCATCATCTGCTTCACTACCGGCTGAATATCAACCCGTCTGCCCTCGCTTATATGCGTGGCAAAATTGTCAGCAGTGAGCCTCTCGCCGAGCATCAGGTCCAGCTGTCTCTAGTGGTCAACCCATCCAGAAAATTCGATAAGACGATTGCAGTATTATTTTTATTTATTTATTAGTATTATTTCAGGCTATAGATCCCTTGTCACACGATCCAGTTTCATAACATACAAAGCTTTTTCGTTGTTGGCATAACATCATGGTTCATCAACACCGAACGGTACTTTGCATGTTATAGACGGGTCAAGGATTTAGCAGACCGGCATACAGACAGACAGACGAACAGACCGTCGGAAATGAGTGCCAAGATTGTTTATGACATTCATGCCTATGTAACATTAAAAAACATATCTAGTTTTCGAAAATTTTCGTCAATGAAATACTTGCTCGCAAATTTTGCTAAACGTTTACTAGATTCGCGGTTATCTAGGTCTGCTTCTGCGCCCTCCTCAACAGATTCTTACCACAAGCGTCTGACGAGTGTGCAATTTTAATTGTTCTCAATCCGCTGTGTAAACAAACCGCTAAGTTTTCCTACCCGACGCGACGCGTGTCGAAGGTATTTTTCAACTAATCTTGACTGGATCTGATATAGAAGTATTATTTTTGGAACCTGATATCTCGATTATGTTACTTGCATGTGCTGTAGAGGGAACCTGATCACATTTGCAAGAATTATACGCCACACAGTGGTTCATTTAAGCGAATACCAACAAAAATCCAGAGAACAGGTTTTGAAAACGGACGATGATTTAAATTTTTTGAATTTGCCCTTCAAGTATCTAGAGACACATACACAATACGCGTTTGGGCTCGATTGCTCGGCTTCCGTGTGTCCTTGGTGTGACCTTGAGGTGACCGTCATAGTAACAAACCAACCCCGGATTTAAAATCAGTAACCCAATAAAGCCCTATTGTATAGAAAATGTTGCAAATACCGTAAAAATTGTATTTTTTGTCAGCTTTTCGGTGTTCTGGACCACAGTGCGCCGAGTAAACTCCAAAATTTTAGGGCGCTCTGTAGAGATTGCATTGAGCGCATTTCTCAATACCAACTTTTTTATGAAGTAACATAATCAATGTATTGCACGCCACTGAAGCCGCACCAAGATGAATTATGACGCATCCGTACAAAGAAACAGCACACATTCCGCCTTTAAGACCGAACTAATGAAGCCAAACCTTACTTGCAGCCTTGTAGTCTACCAAAACAACATAAAATTGGTATAATAATGAATAAGCGACAAATACGTGGGCGGAAAAAAAGGCATAACTTTTTCACATTGATTCATGAAAAGGTTTTGTTCTGAATAGTTGCTCACACCAGATTCCGGTCAAATTTCTATCAATAAAACGGTGGGCGTTTCCACTGATTTTCTATTACTATTTTGCTGTACTCAATGTCATGTGTATTTTCTGAACATGGTTCCCTATGAGCACGATGATAACTGTCATAAGTCAACAATAGGCAGACGAGATATGTCAGTTAATGGTTAAAATATAAAATTACAAGTAACCTAAGGTCATACATCTACAGAGGTTATTATAGAACTTACAGTCGGGTTGCTAGGGGTGGCAGTTATGTTAATTACTGCTCGGTTTCCTCTTTTAGGAGGAATTTCGGAGAGTTTTAGATGTTGGCATGACAGCGTTTCTGGAAACACATTTGGCATATCTGTCTGAGCGGCGGATTATTAAGATATATAATGCGTGATTTCCATGCGGTAGGAAGCTACCTTTCCCCTGTGCCAGGTTTTCCGTTTCAAAAGGCTTTTTTTCCTCAAAAATAGGTTTAGCTGTCACACTATTGCTCTCCAAGGAAGTACAACTGCCATGTCCTTAGGACATCAAGTAAGTTGCTTTGAAATTTTCGTGATATTGAAGCCCTCGTTAAGTTGTTTCCGTAGTACCCGCGTAATAAAGGTGAAAAGGTATACGGTTGTACTCCGTACTCTTGTAAGATAGTATTGTTGCTTCTCATGTTTAAGATTTGATCATCGGCTTACACAAGTAAGTATATGAAAGCTGTTATGAGTGTTATCATTCATGTTATGCCAATGCCGCATTATAGTTCCATGGAAATTAGGCAGAACTATTACCAAAATCGACAACTGAGACAATGAGTAGCAGCTATCGATTGGTCTCAGTTCGCATTTGATGTCCGGGTCAGCACTGTGTAACATACTAGTATGTTAAACATACTGATATATGTAATTGTTCAATAGCGGTATATACCGCCAGAATCAACAGCATCTAGCGGCCACAAGAGTGACCCGGCTATCAAATTCATACTGAGATTTTTATAGTTCCAACCGATATCAGTGGTCGATTCTGGTAATAGATGGTGCTATGCGCTGTCGTATCTCAATGTTACAGCCGTCGAAGAAGAGTAAGAGTTTTAGGCGGGCGTTTTCGTAAATTGTCGCTTTAACCATTAACTGCATACACCTGACTCCAGAGAAAACCTAAGTATTTTTTGTATTGTTATACAATCACAATTCAACTGCAAAAAGCATCACTAGCGAGTGCATGATACAGCTTTTGAACACATTTAATCGGAAGATGCCCAAATCAAAGCCGTGCCTGAGAAATACGGGCTTGTGTAGTGTGAAAACTGGTCAAAAATTGTTAGAAAAATAAGTACCTCATATATTGGCTGCAAATAAAGCAAACCTTTCAACTACTATCCAAGGCAGACTGAATTAGTGTTAACCTTTAGCGGGGGCGCCAGCAGGGTAGTTTCACATGGAGAGTCAATCATCCCGTTGTATGCAAAATGATGGGAAATATGTAATTTTTGACGAGTTCCTGGAGGTTCCTACAGAATTATTTAGAGGCCTTTTGGATGTGATGTTTAATGCAAAGAGTGACTCAAGGACTAACAGTCAGAATAGAAGAATGATGATCGTAATTCATTTTTTTGTTTAGTCTGGAGGTTTTTCTGATAAGGAAATCTCAATCATAATGTGTCTATGTAACAAGAGGAGATGCACTGCTTGACGCACATCGGTACCTTTCAACTAGTACCTTGTAGCTATCAATATGCGAGTAGAAGTGATAGGATCGTAAAATCTTATTATTTTATTAAGGCATGGAATTACTTCAGTAACCCGGAAGGAGGCGAAGGTTGCACTCATTTTTCCTTGCTGGGCACATGAAATAGATGGTGATATCCAATATGCAATATCGGAAAGCTTCTTCAATTGTTTCTTCCTTTTATGATTCATTGTATATTTTATTAAATCTGATGTTTGCTGTTTAATGGACAAATTGGATGAAAACCTTCCACTTTCCACACAATACTGTATTCTTCACAAGATTCAGGGATAATATGTAAACTCATCACTCAACTCAACCGCAATTCACATCGTGATGTTGGTATGCGGATCTCTAAAATGCTAGATATTAATCTGGATTGTGCTGGGATTTCCAGGAAACTGCAATAATCTCAAAGTTGTTTCTGTTTCAGTAAAAAATGCAAACCCCAGAAATCACTTTCTCATGCACAAATTAGCGTGACACCTCGTAGGACAAATTTTGTGGCCTTCGCATTATGTGAAACTTTTCACGACGAATCAGATTACTGAAATGTATTGTATATTAAGCACTCTAAGGGGTTTCGTACACAAGGCTACGCAAATCTTCGATACTCAACGATTTTAGTCTCCAAGCGATTACCGCCATACAAATCCATTGAGTTTCGTACACGAGTCGCGTCGCCGACATTCGTCTCGCGACTCGCATCGTGCCAGTCGTGTGCTACCTGCCGGACAAGATCTTCGCTACATAAGTCGCAGCGATTTCCAGGATGGCGGAGCAGTTATTAAATATTAAATTTGTTTCGGAGGTGGAGAAGTAACCCTGTTTATACAACTATAAAATAAAATAATATTCTAGAAAGGATATTACAGAAAAAGCGTGGGTATCAGTAGGAAGGGCCTTTAATTTAACAGGTTGGTAGATTTTTATAGTATTAAACATAGTAGTTTAGTAAAGAAAAAACACATTTGGCAGTATGTTTTTTATTAAGATTTTTTTACGCATATACACGATATCTTGTGTACATTTTATTATGATAGCCGATGTTGTAACCCGCCGGATTACCCATGTTATTGTGATCTAGGATCATGATTAGCTACTAACTAGTAATGTACCAGATATCCGTATCCACTAAACCATAAACAGAACACAGGGAATATCTGATGTTAAATTAATAGTTAAAATTAGAAAATAGAACTTGCTACAGTACTTAATGGTGTGTGGTCCAGTAAAATATTTATTTGCATTTACAGAATTTTGTTATTTAAACAGACTAACAAAATTTATACAATACAATTATATTGCCATGGGAGTGCTACCTGAGGTTTAAGAAAGTAGTTAGCTAAATAGTTTCTTAACGTATTTGGAGAAGATTGCGCATTCAGTTGAATTTGCTGAGGTTGTATTATACCATGTGTACTATTGGAATTTTCTTCATACGCACGATATGGAAGCCCTTCTCTTTTCCTAACATAGTTGTGTAAAATACATACTGATTTTACAATATTATTAATCTTTATATTGTCGTGGCATCTTATCGCAGTGCTTAGAACCTGAAATTTTTCCGTCATCATCCCAAAAGCGCATTCTACAGTCTTCCTTCCTCTACTCAATCTATAGTTAAATATTCTTTTCGTATTATCAAGTACTCTTTGTGGATATGGCCGTAGCAAATAATGCAATAGCGGAAACGCTTCATCTCCGACAAAGTAAAATGGAAACTTGTAGTTGTTGTCATCATTGGGTAATCGTAAAGGAGTAGGAAGATCAGGATTGTCCCCTTCAATGAAATGTTTGATTGCTGAAGCACGAAATATACCACCATCACTGTTCCTGCCAGCAAATCCTGTTTCGATGTATGTAAAGAGGCCATCAGCGTCACTGCATGCCATGAGAACAATTGAATGATACGACTTGTAGTTGAAGTTAAGCGATCCTGAGTTTGGTAGCTTTTCCATTCTTATGTGCTTTCCATCTAGAGCACCCAAACAATTAGGCAAATTCCATAGTAAATGAAAACGTTGTGCTATTATTTTCCATTGATTTTTATCCGGTGTTGGCATATAAATATCTTTCAAGGCATCCCATTGCTGTTATTTCTCCAATTATTCTTGATACTGTAGAGTCTCCTCGAGCAAAATATAAGGAAATCGATGTGAATGTTGCGCCAGTTGCCTAAAAAAAGTTGTATTAATACTTATTTATTTAACATCTTGTACATAGTATTACAATGGTGAACTTAATGTTAACAGTTGCTTGACATATTTTTATTACTTTCAGGACTGCAAGCGAAAGACAAATGGAAAAACATCCGTTCTGTATTCGTACGAAACTTAAAACCTGCTGCTAGTGGATCATCAACAAAAAAGAAATACTATTTGACAGATTCAATGCAGTTTGCTCTTCCTTATATAAAATCTGCTGCAATTCCATCTGGCAGTTTGCCTAATCCGATTAATCAAGACAATGAATCACAAGCATCTACACCGACCGCATCACCACCGCCCTCGGCATCACCACCGCCCTCCGTATCACCATCGCCCTCGGCTTCACCACCGCCCCCGACATCACCTACTGCATCCTCCAGTCAACAAACTGAACGTACTCCAACCCCGTTATCTGTCTCAACCTGGCGTAGTTCCTCTCAGCGTCATAAGAATAGAACGAATGAGAATGATGAACTCTTCAATGAATATTTGAAAACGAAAATGAGCAAGCCAAATGTCAATGACGAGTCGACAAAGAATAACGCCAACAAGATGTTTTTGTTAAGTATGCTGCCAGACTTAAATTCTATGACATCCACACAAATAAGATCATTCAAACGTCAAGTTATAGATGTGATAGATAACATACTGAATGTACCTACCACTTCATCTAAGCAAACGCCGGCGCCGGCCTTAGTTCATATACCAAATACTTCAAGTATATTATCTTCGCAGACATCTCCGTTTGTAGGACCCGAAATACAACACCCAAGTAAATCGTCCTCGCAGGTAACAACTGACATAGAATTACCAATAGAAACCAATAATGATATAATCGAATATACAACCGACGATGGAGTAAATGCAGCTACATACATTCAACTACTCCAAAATACTGTAGGTGAAGTAAATTATACTCAGAATTGATGACGCAGTTAAGATTTCGTGCAGACTTCTGAGGGGTTCCGTTCCGTTATATATTATTAAAATTCAATCTTACTTTGAAATGTTAATATTTAATAAAACAAATTGAAATCATACCTGATTGTTATTAGAATCCTTTCCTCTGCGCTCACACACTCTCTCATGTGTGTATCTCTCTGGTGTATATGTGGAACAAGTAACTCCACTAAATGTGTATAACTCTCAATGATAAGAATTTCGCATCTGTTTGTTGTAATTCTTTTGCAGCTACAAACAGTCTGCACTTTATGTTTCTCTCTATATACGGATGAACCCAGTATCTTCTGTTACGACGATTTCTTTGTTTCCGATAAAAATAGTACAAAATTATAGTTTCATCATCACTTGTTTCAGACATTTTCGTAAAAGTGTGATCTGTTTAGCCTATAGTGGCTGAATAGGCAATTCGCGTCTTGCGATTCAATGTCGTGTGTACGGACCGTGCGCTACTCGATACTCGCGACTGGATACTAATGTAGTATACAACATTAGTATCGGAGACTTGCGTAGCCTTGTGTACGAAGCCCCTAATGTCTACACTTTAAATCTGAATAACAAACTTCGTAGGTTTTACCCAAAGTTTATGATGTGTTCATCCACTGTCCCTTTTTTTAAATCCTTTAGGTCCGATTCTACTATTAACCCGGCCATTTGGCCATTTTGAAGTAATGTCTATCAAACTAGAGAAAAATAGTACAATCTGTGTAAGATGGGTTCATATTAAATCAAGAAATGTCTCATGTCACGTGGTTTAGCCAAAAAAATTCTTCATTTTGTTCCGGACACAAGATTTGCTGCCGGCACTCAAGTTCGACTACCCGAAAAGAAGGATTTGCGGCCTGCTCGAAACACTTGAGAGATAGTTGAAAAAAGATATATTTTAAGCAATCCATCAACATGTCCATTAAACTAACAAAAACCTACTTTTTCTCCTTACAGGTTTTAGCTCAGTCGAACTAGTCATTGATTTTTGTCCTTGCTGTACAAAACTCTGCTTAATGAACCATTTGAAGATATACAAGGTGTTTAGAAGGTCGATACAAGGTCTTGGGGGCCTGATAGGGCAGACCATTTAAAATCTTTTAAGCCAAAAATACCTTAGTTCAAAGTCTTACGGTTTTCGAGTTATTCGAGATTTTCGATTTTTAATGTTAAAAGGATCCCTTTTGTTCCTGTTATCACTGAAAGAAAGTTAAGCTATATGAAATAGTTTTTAAGTACCTGACAGAGGGTAGTGAAAAGAAAAACGAGTTGACTGTAATCAAATGATAAGTACATGTTTTCCTATTTTTGTGATACTGATAGAAGGAACGCGCATGATAAAGCTAAATTCCACACATTCTTGCTTAATTCCTGTCCAAAGAAGTCGATAGAAATTCATAAATTTCAGTCCAAAAACCCTGAATTAATTAGTTTGTAAGATGGCCGCTTTCACTAACGAAGAATACGCAGATATCCTTTACATGTACGGTAGAGCAGATGGCAATGGACTAGAAGCACGACGGTTGTACCAAGAGCGATTTCCTGTGAGAAGATTGCCTAATGTCAAAGTGTTTTACAATACTTACCAACGTCTTTACGAGACTGGAAGTGTAACACGTAATGAACCTGGTGTTAATCCAGGTTGATATCCTCCTGAACTCTAATCCTCCAAGCGTTTTTTAAGAAGATCCCACTACAAGTACTAGTAAAGTTGCTGCTGATCTTGGTTTGTCGCCATGGAAGGTTGCAGTATCATGCACCTTGAACGAAAATATCCTTTTCATGGTATCGGCATACAAGGACTTGAAGATGGTGATCCTATACGCAGAAGCCAATTTTGTCGTTTTCTCTTACATAGTGACATTGAGAATGAGCGGTTCCTGGAAAGCATTCTATGGACAGACGAATCCAATTTTTCGAAGGAGGGCATTACAAATTTTCACAATTTGGGTCAACGGGCTGATAAGCAGGAAAATCCATACTGGAAAACACAAGTGTCTTTCCAGCACAAATTTTCCGTTAATGTATGGGTCGCCATCATGGGACAAAGATTAATCGGTCCTCATTTTTTGCCTGAAAGATTAAACGGCGACGGTTATCTGCACTTTTTGCAAAATGATCTTCCCGATGCAAATTGTTTTCCAACACGACGGATGTCCAGCTCATTTCCGTTTAGACGTGAGACAATATTTGGATGATATTTTTCCAAATAGCTGGATAGGCTGAGGTAGACCAATTCCATGGCCTCCTAGATCCCCGGACTTGAAACCATTGGATTTCTATGTCTGGGGCGGGCTGAAAATTTGTTTACACTAAATAAATCGTATCAATAGGCCATTTGATAAAAAAAATCGAGAAGCTTTTTATTTAATGCAGCACGTCAGGTTACTAAATACAAGAACTACCTAAGTAACACATAGAGCCAGAACATTTATTAGAAATATATATATATATATATATATATATATATATATATATATATATAATGGTTCTCACTTTGAACACCAATAAAGCATGTTTCAATAGTTTGTTTTGTTTCGTTTAGTAATTTATGATTTAAATCCGAAAATCTCGAAAACCGTAAGACTTTATACTGAGGTATGTATGGCTTATAAGACTCTAAATGGTCTGCCCTATCCCCCCCCCCAAGACTTTGTATCGACCTTCCAAACACCCTATAAAATTAGAGAATGCTTATTCTTTAACAAACCATGTCCCTTTCTGACTACTTTAATGGTCAACTCGTGCTTAGACAATTTGCCTGGCCATTGTGACCAGACAGGGTTAGAGCAGGCCGCATGTTCTTCTTTTTGATCGCTCACAAATTTTGTGTCCGAATACAAATGAAAAAATAGGTTTTTGTTGCTAAGCCCGGTAACATAGAAAGTATTTTTTGATTTAGCATGATATTTAGGGGGCCATCTCACACAAATCATATAAATTTTCTCTTGTTTGGGAGACATTTTACGACAATTCGACCATATTCGTTAGACCATAACTCAATATATACTAATTTTATTCTCCAATCCATCACGATTTTGTGACTGTTCATGAGACGATCCACCAAGTGTTCTAACAGATTCGTGATTATCCAGCATACGGTTTCTGCATGGTCAATTCGGTACTTGATCTAGAGCAAGGACTGTAGAGACTGACACGCGCATTATTTTTTGACGCACGTATGCCCTTCTGTGTTCTGTTCAACCCGTTGTTTACCTACATATATTTTTTGTGTATATATTTTACGAGTATTAATGAACATTTTTGGATTTCAAAATGTAGATTTGTAGCGAGTTTCGTGGTAATTATAACAAAATACTAGATAACTTTTATGATCACTGAAGCCACGGTATAACTGTGCGCTTCCAACTACCTTTAAATCTCATAAAGAACATATTTAGTTGTTAGAAAATCCCCGTTCTGTAAGAATACAGATTTTCTAGAAATATCTGGTACGGCATATTCAATGGCGAACTGCTTATGCACGTATATCCACAACGTTTAAATGCAAACTCATACTTAGCTTTTCTAGAGATTACATAGTAAATGTGTTAGATGATGTTCCGTTAGCAACGAGAATACGAATGTGGTATCAGCATGACGGTGCCCCACCGCATGTTCGTCGTAACATAACCGCATGGTTAAATCATTTTAGACAACGATAGATTATCAGAAACGGACCCGTACATTGGCCTGCGAGGTATCCCTTGAACCCCCTGGATTGCTTTTTGTGGGGCGCTTCTGAACAACTAGTGTATGCTGAACAAATTCAGACTGTTGATCAGTTTCAAAAAAGAATAGATAATGCGCTTAATCAATTTCAAGCCACAGCAAATTTTGCGGAAATACGTTTCTTTTTTATTAAAAAGATGCCACACTTGTATCCATCAGAGTGGTGGCCTTTTCGAACATTTATTTAAATAAGGTTTTGGTTATCTAATTTGTTTTTTTTTATATTTACGAAAACAATGATTCTAATAAAAGAACACAAGAGTAATTATAGCAAAATGCGAAAAATTGTGCATACTATTTTTATTTGGAAAAATAATGTCACTAATCCCCTGTATCTCCGCCACTGGTGCACGTTAATTTTAATTTAATACTTTTGAATGCAGATAATACAAATTCACCGACCAAATTTTAGTTCACTACAGTTGGCGGTTTTGAAGATATTAAAAAATATATTATTAATTTTTAAACTTCAATACCCCGTATCTTCTTAATGAAGCTCTCGAGGCAAAATTTTTACATAGAAGACCCCCCTTAAAATGCGGTCCTAAGTATGAGGTTTCATTTTTGGCCACGACTTGAATCACTCTGTATATAGTTAAAATTTAGCGCCATCTATAAGACACTAACCATTTAAAAGCGGATTTTGAATTATTGCGGAGAATAGATGCATAGCCGTGACAAAGTCTCGTGGATGATGCTACATCTCATTTTCTCTTAAGTTGGCTGTATCCAAGTAGAGTACCTTAATCAATGGTTGTGAGATTTCATCTTCTACTGTTGAGAAATTCTGAGCAAACAAGAGCTTGGGAATGATTGAGAGAGAGGTTGAGAGGTGATCTTTCCCTAGAAGGTTTATGCCTTGTTTAAAAAAATAAATAATTTATCTTAAAAAGAGGATAGGGTATATCATAATTTCGTCTATGGGAGTAAAGGTTACCCAGACAACGTTTGGGTAAGCATCATGAGAATGATAACAGTTAAATTTGAAAAACTTCAAGGTCAACCTTGTTATGCTTATCACAAGAGCTTATTCATACGATTACGGTTATAACCAATTGTTTAAAAGCATCCATAAAAACTACGCATCTTACGTCTATCGCTATGGCTATGACTATTAAAATATTGTATAAACCCCACATTATTGGCTACTTGGCAATATTGTGTGATAATGGAAATCGTATGTAAACGTTCAAGAACTAGCTAACTTGAAATTCAATCATACCCTAACCGAAGTCTGGGTGAACTCACCGGGAACGTGACTCTTGCGTAATAACATCGAAGAAAATCAATGTTCAAAGACTACTTCCACTCAAAAATACCTTATTTGCAGCTTCGCAAAATAATTAATGTTGGAAAGTTTGTCGCTCGCTGGGTATTTCCTACCTTTCATTAAAATTCTTAATCAATCTTTCCATTGTAATTATTCGAAATTGACTATAATTTTGATGAAGAGAAGGGAAGAGAAGTTACTCGCTTGCTGTTTATTGTTAGCGGATCAGACTTACAGCTGCTAGAACTTGTAAGTTGGAGCAAAAACGCTTCGAGCCATTCAGTCTCCCAAATTCCGGATGTTTCTTTCGAAGTTTGAATTAGTTTCTGTGCAGCTTGAACACCTGCATTTTCTATGCAAAATTAATATGGCGAAGTTACTTTTGACAGGCAATTTAGAACAATCGGGACTGAGAGAGTTTGGTGTGAAAATGAGTAGAAATGAGGTGGTGGAACAAATTTATAGGGTGCTTCACCATTATTAAATAATGTATTTGTATTTGGGGAGCGGCTGCCGCACGAGTAGGGCGGGGGCTGATATAGAGAGCAGAATTAAGTCCAAAGATATTCCTGGATTAAAGAAGATCCACTTAGACATTAGACATTTTTTTCAGCCTGTAGGCTGTAGATTGGTCAAGTCAGGTACATAGAAATTACAAAATAATATGTTTGAAAAAAAGACGACAGATTTACTATAAAATTGACAAACAATACGTAAGTATTTGTATAAACAATAAAATACAAATCACAAAGGTTACATGCCCTCTACATGGATTTTAGTAAAATCAATAAATTCATGGATTGTAGCAGTGCCTTAACTGACGTCTACATTTTCTTGTGGTTTTTTTATGTGGCGATCTGGAAGGCGGTTGAAGAGCATGAATGCACATATACAACTGCAAAAGTAGATACACATGCCCACTCATCAGGCTACGTTTGTAACCTGAGAAAACGAAGATGGAGAGGAAAAAAACGACACACGAAGTCCACAACAAGAGCCAACCTACACATTGTAGTGTAAAATGGCTAGAAGACCTTAAATTTTCAAGGAGATATCTAACCACAACCACGCGACCGGTTAGGTTGGCTCTTGTTGTTCACTTTCCATCTTCCATCTTTTCGTCAGGTTATACCCCTGTCCTATTTTCTGATCGAATCGACTTTCCCCTTTTTTGCAGATGTTTTCCATTATTTTCCTACTTTCTGCTATATACCTTTTTTCACATGATCCTTTTCCCTCTCTCTCCCTATATATACAGGGTGACTTTGAAGTTGAGTCATTAATTTTCAGATAATGATTGTAGAAGGAAGATAAACCAGAATATGTGTGTAAAAATAAAAAAGAAATTAAAAAAAATTTTTTACCTTGTTTTATAAAGTATCCTCCCGACAAGTATTTCAGTGCGGACCTGTATTTGATCGTGAGGTCCCCTGTGAGGTTTCACCTGATTCACGAGCCCGTTGTACTACATTAACAAAGGCACGAGGGGTTGGTTGCACTCGATTGGGAAACCGATCCGCATAAACATGTGCCATTTTTATTTCGTTTGAGCCACGCAACAGACACTATTCACACGCGTTACCGACTGACACTAACTGTATGTATAACTGAACTGAATAAAATAATTGTAAAAACATCGTTCCAAATTCTTTCGCTTTTTTGTTTCCGATGCGATGAACCGATAAGGCGGATTATATCCGTTGTTGCCAAACACGAGCACATGATATTATTATTGAGACAGGGCGGTACTCAAACTTCCAAAGGGCTATAACTTTGTTACTTTAATTTTACCAGAAAAATGGTAAAGGAAAAAAACATTCCTTTTGATCAGATCTACTCACTGTTAAAATAAATGACTCAACTTCGAAGTCACCCTGTATATAGAGAGAGATGTTTATATACATATATACGAGTATATGGGTTAATAGTTTGTGAAGATATATTGCTGTTATTGTTGAGGATGTTATTGTTTTTAAACACATCTCGACAGAAGTCATTATAATTAAGACTAAATATGAGCCTCAGTATTCTTTTTTGTTGAATAAATACCGATGGTGTCTCTGCTGACTGCCCCATATCGCTATGTTATATGCAGTCTAAGAATCCATAAAGGGATATTACACCGTTAATAGCAACATACAATCGATGTTGTTTTTTAAAGTATTTAATACAAAAGCGTTATTTAATTTCTTGAAGTTTGCGTCAATTTCTTGATCCCATGCAGGGTCACTGTCCAGGCTAGTTCGTAGAAAAACGGAACTTGTTTCTCCCCGAATTTCTATGTTGTTACCAGTCATCTTGAACGGAAAGCGTTTTTTAGTGTTTGTGTTAAAATGCATAATGTATGATTTCGAAAACTTTGCATAAGTTCTTGTGACACCAATCAACGAAAATCAGCTACCTCCCTGCAGAATACCCTTAGAAGATTTCCCATAATAAAAGTACGCATATGCCCCCAAACCTAACAAGGTCATTTGCTTATTCCGCTATGCAATACATAACCCTATACTGTGTACTTTATGATCCGGTTACTAAAAAAAAAAAGAAAGAAAGAAAACAGAAAAAATGTGGTTTATATTGTGCGAATTTGGGGACCTCCTTCATGAAGCCCAAGTTAACACCACCTAATTTACTACATTCATACAGGGTGAGGCAGCATAACTACCTTTTTTAAAATGCGCACCAGGGCGTTCTGCACGAAAACATGCCCTTGGACGTTCCGATCGTTCTGTGAGGATAATTCTTCATGATGATCTTCATTTTCATCCGTACAAGATGGCGATTCTACAGGAACTTTCTGAACGTGACTTCAATTCTCGGATGAACCCGTGTGAGCGTCTGCTCGAAGTGGTTCCAGATGAGGCTATTTTTTGTGATGAGGTCTATTTTCATTTGTGCATATCCGTCAACAAACAAAATATGCGCTACAGGGCTGACACCAGTCATTGAAAATTGTATCAATGGCCTTTGCATTCACTCAAGTCACAGTGTGGTGTGCAATTTCCTCGGCTGGAATTATCGGTCTTTGGTTCTTTGAGAAAAATGTGACAGCGAATTTGGACCGGTATGTAAACATGTTACAGGATTTTCTGGAGGCTGTACGAGTCAGGCTTAGAGCACATTTGATTCCAACAAGACGGTGCAACGGTACACACTTCAAGAGCATGCATGCTTTGATGGAAGACTTGTGATTTCATCTTAATTAGGGGCGATTTGGAGTGGCCTGCTCGCTCCCCCGACTATGCCTCATGTGATTCTTTTCTATGAGATTTTTTGTAATCCCGTGTTTGTGTGAACCTGCCAAGCACCGTACAAGATTTAAGAACCATCGTCCAGGAAGGAATTGTCTGATACGCTGTCAAGAGTAATCACCTATCTGATTTGATCTTAAAGACCACATAAAACAAAGCTTTGGTCATGCGCCTACATCATAAAAAACGAATAAAAATGTTCCGATTCATACAATAGGTTTTGAAAAAAGGAAGTTATGCTGCAGCACCATGTACTGCTCCTCATTTTCGAAAGAAGTCAGAGAAACAACAGCAAAATCACAACAATAACAAAAACTACATGTACCTCCATAACTTCGTAACTTTCTCCGTGAAATGATGAAGTCACAAAAGCAGCGACAACGAGCCCGTTAGGCAAAGTTGGCGAGGCGATTCAAACTCTCCGACATCAGCGAAAGGGTGGAACGCCTGGAGGTGCTTCGCCATTGTGAAACATTCGCCGGGTCATTGGAACACGCCATCAAAAAGGAAATAAGGCGGCGGAATTACCCGCCGTTAATAAAGCCACAGATAAAAGTTTATTGGGGCATAATTAAGGGTTGCGCTGTTAACACTCGCTCGTCTTGCCAGGGATTGTACTCGTATAACGTATTTTGTGTATTTTGTATATCATGCCCTGGTTAGTTACGGTGATCTAGTTTCTTGGACAGGAAATTCTTATGGCCACTGTTATAGTCCCAGGCCTAGCAGACATTACTTATTTTCTCAAAGACGAAAGGCATTGCATAGTGTTTCTGTATATTTTGAGTGGAATGCCTACGTAGGTTTGGTAGACGGATGATTTGCTGGTATTAGATGAAGGCGGTTGCGCAAAAATAAGACTTACTTCACCTAAATTCTAATATCTGATTTTTATACAGGGTGGCGCATCGAAAACGAAACAGACGCATTTGCTGGCAGTTCAGTTTTTTTAAAAGCTCAAAGGGAACAGAAAGACCTTTAAAATAAGGTATCACTCGACCCCCCTTTCCATTTAAGATTTTAGGGTTGGTGTCACCTCCGCCCAGGGGCCTGCGCGTGTTAACGTGATTTTTTGCCAAACTTGTGTCCCCTCGAAAACGAAATCGATGGGTCTGAGCGTTTTTCAAAAAAAAAACTGAGCTGCCAGTAAATGCGTCTGTTCCGTTTTCGATGCTCCACCCTGTATCTACTCTGTATACACAGATTACATACAAGTATCTGCAATACAGATACAAGATAGAAAATACTTACATATACACTTTTTTTAAATTGTATTTGTATCTTGTATTTAGATACATTTTCTATAAATTTTTGCACGCAACCCGCCCTTGAAACTTTAGCCTAGGGTATCTAACAGAACTTATCCTGTCCGAAACACGGAAAATTAATCGATATGATAAGCAGAAATCGAAGTCTTCAGACAATACTGAAAGTGATATAAAAAAGAAGTCAAAAGCCAAATCTCATTATATGTTCCTCCATTGCATATGGCGAAAGCAATGAAAACACAGGATCTACTGGCACTGACTTAAACACTACAATACCTAAATAGTAATGAAACCAGCTTAAAGAGTCCAAGTGCTACAATACATTTTTTGCCAATTTCTGCTCATGTGGAGCGACTTTCCTCTTTTGACGGTGTGATAATAAGACATTGACAAAAAATGAGTGACAAAATGTTTGAAGAGCTGGTTCTACTTGTCTCAATTAAAACTTTATAAGTATATTTTGTCACACTTGCACGGTCAACGATAACTATCAAATAACTCTTAAGTATCATATAAGTGGGTCAGTTTCAACCTTTCAGGGTCTCTAGGCACAACTCTTTACAACTCTTAAAAGAAACTACACATACAGGGTGTTAGGGAAATAATATTCATAACTTTAAGAGGTGATTCCTTGCATTATCCCAATCAAAAAAGTTCAATATAACTTATGTCCGTAAATCAATCGTTTTCGAGGAAAGTGAGTCATAAATAATTAAATTTTCTCAAACATTTGGCAACGCTGCAACGCAACCGCGATCCAAGCGCATGACGACCGCAACTAATTCAACGAATTGTTTACGTTTGTATGATATTTCTATTGAAAATATGTCTTGTATTATTGAATACTTTTCGCAATTTTTTGTAGCTAATATTTTTTATTTAATAGCGCTTTCAGTACGGTAAATTTACTTAAAACAAATGACAGAACTTACCGCTACGTGGCGATACGCAACACCAATTGCCAC